AAGGAGCAGAAAGAAATTTTCACTCCAAGGATGGAGGTAGAGATTTGAATAAAGTAAAAACAGACTCCAACTTTGGCCCAAAGCTTAAAGCTACACAGCTAAACTTGTTTACAGGTTGGAAAGATTTGAAAAATGCTTTCCCCGCGTCACTCAAAACAAAAATGCAGACTCTTTTCACTTACTTCATAGTCAGTCACATCAAACTTCCACTCAGTGCAGCTGTGAGGGATGGAGACAACAGTAGCTCTAAGCCTGCTCCTTTGATTCTGGGCTGGCCAAGGACCAAATCAGGATCACTATAAAGCCTTGTAGGACTGACATACTCTGATGCCCAGTAAAGCAAAAATCTTGCTCTGATACGACACTTCTGATTATGGTAGAGACCAAAACCCTCTATGTCTATACTGCATCAAACTATTTATTTCATAGTGTTGCATATCAAAAGGGATAGATTTGAATCAAAAATTAATTCTTGTGTTGTCGCTCTTTACTTGGATGTTTGTTCTGAAATACCCAGCTGTAAGAAATCTTTCAAGAAGTTAGCTTGTGAGTTCCCATATTGAAATCCATGGAGCTCTTGCTCTGTTTTGTGGTCAGGTAGAGGAAGCATTGTTAAGAATTTTGAATTAACTCCTTACTTATTATTGAGAGAATCATTTTAGGATCGGGTTAGATTATTCAACCCTGAATACTTTTCTGGAAATTTTATAGCTGAGTTTAACTACCAAAGGTGAGTAAGCGAATGCATTCTGAGAAGCGGATGTTTCTTTCAAGACACTGTTTGGACTCAGATGGGGAGTTGGAAATGGATGTTTGTAATAATCTGATTGAGTGTATGATTAAGATTTTATGAGATGGTCTCTCTCCTAAAGTTTAGCATTTTGGGGAAATAATGTTGATTAAAGCTGTTTTAAATGATACTCTGACATATATTACTAGTAGTGCCTAATTTAAACAAACCGTACTGAGTCATTGAAATACAGTTGTAGCAATTTACTTGTAGGTTTAATTCTGTGCTAAAAGATTTTTAGCTTAGGTTAATAAACTTCATAAACTCTCATAAATCTTGAATGTTTGTGGCTATTGAAAGTTAGTCCATCAAATAACTCGAGGGGATAATTTTTCTTAAAAATTATAACTTTTACCACAGCTGTTCAAAAAGCAGGTAAAATATCAGTGTTCAGCACTTTTATTCGGAAGATTTATGTTACATCATTGTATTACTATTGGTGACATCTATAGAGTCCATTCAGAAGATGTTAGCAGTGATTAGAGTTGGGTAAAAAATGCAAACCTTAATTCCAAGTTTTAAATGAATTCATTCTAGCTCTGCTCAGACCTTTTTTGTGTCCTTTTCCCATCGACATATGAACAATCTACTTTAGTGATGGGCATCCATAGAAAATACATTTCAATATTCATGCCAGATTGTTTATTTGATTATCCAAATGGGAACAGAGACAATACTATATGACATATCTGACCAATCACAAGCAAGCAACAAAAGTCTTGTCTTAGAATATTCACAATGAATCCACGAAGTAAAAAATTCACAACAATATTTGTTGAATAAATACAAATATTGATCTGCTTGTGGCTATTCTGTGAGCAGAAAATAAGGCTACATTTCTTGAATACATTGTCTACTGTGAATTACTCAATTCTAGTATTTTAATTTATGGGAGCAATTGACATATATAAGTTAGTAGCTGGATTGTTGTAGTGAGGGCATAAACAAGTAAGGGTGCCTGGCCATGACAGGGGGAATACTATAGTTAGTTTTTACAAGTAGAAAAGTGGATTCTAGTCAAGGAAGACAGAGGAGAGGAGACAGGTTTCAGAGTGGTAGCCGTGTTGGTCTGTATCAGCAAAAAGAATGAAGAGTACTTGTGGCACCTTAGAGACTAACAAATTTATTTGAGCATAAGCTTTCGTGGGCTAAAAGTGGGTTTTAGCCCACGAAAGCTTATGCTCAAATAAATTTGTTAGTCTCTAAGGTGCCACAAGTACTCCTCGTTCTTTTAGAGGAGAGGAGAGTGGCTCTGGCCGCCTGTGTGGGCAGGAATTTAGCCCCTCATCTATCACTTCTTGGGTAGTCTTTCCTCTCCTGGACCTTTACACCTTAGAGAAGATAAAGCTTCTCTTTCATATGGACACATGGTACTCATATTATCCACTCACATAGAAAAGTTATTCCTGGATAAAAAAGAATAGTGCTAATATTTTACATATAAAAGGGAATTTCCAGTAGAGATTCTTTTTCTTAGAAAGAGGGGCAGGAGAAAGGGCAGAGATTAAACACTGCTATAATCCAGAGTGTAGAGTATTTTGCACCTTGAATGAGCGATTATTCAGTGTCATCGACTGAAAGGTGTTGGATCCCTCTGGGCAATTTGCAATATCCTGAGTGGTTTGCAGAATTCTGTGGTAAATGTTCTGAGGTTATCTCATAATAATGAAGAAGATGATGTGCATCACCACTGTACATGGAGTTTCACCAGATAAAATTATACTTGTTATTGTTATGTTTTGAATGGCATTATTAATAACAGATGTAATGGACAGATATAACTCAAAACTGGATCATTAGATTATTATAATTTGCTCCAATTTGCATGTATTTTCGGCAAAAATGATTACTAATATTATGTGGTTATATAAAGTGTTAGTATTTGCTCTTATGACATTCGTTACTCTTTTCCATATTTTCATAATTTACTATATTAATGTTTTTCACACACGTAACAAAAATATCTGCTAACATCAAATAATAACGTAATACCAGGCCAGACCTGAATATACTAAAACTATCGTAAAAACATAAAACCTTGCCTGAAATAAATATTTCTCTTTCAATTATATTTTCTAAACTAACCCAGAGATTCGATTTACTTTTCAGAATCCTTAATTGCCTTTGACAATAATAGTTAAGTACATCATATCATACTGTGGCATATAGCAATCCTGCTGAAAAATGGATTGACATTGATATACTCCTTACTAGACACAAACAGGTAATACACTGTACTAAGTGGTCCTATACTCCGATTGATGTCATTCCCAGAAAAATGCAGCATCCAGCACAGCTGGCTTAACTGGCTGGTGGAAGATTCCCCCAACGTGAGGGAGTCCTTGGGAGTTGTAACAAAGCTATAGTGGTTCCAGCCCACCCCTTCTCCTGGCTCCCCGTGAGGGTGCATAGCCAAGGAAAGGAGGTAAGGCCATGACATCTCAATCCCTGGTGATACCTAGCTGCAGGAAACAATGGTTGTGTTTGGGGCAGTCAGGCTTAAATTAGAGCAGCCCTGAGGCTGGTCTAACTCATGCTGGAAACTCACCAATTCTCTGGCTGAACCTAGGATTACAGGAGGGAAGGCCATAAAGGTAGTGTAAAAACCGGCACAGGTAATACACAACCAAAGTTTGAGGTCTAATATTAAATTATAAATAAACTTGTGAACATTAAACAAAATGAGACTAGTTTGCATTGTGCTAATGAAAGATAAGCCAAGAAGAGATTTTTCTCTCTCTCTCTGAAGTCTGTGAAACACATGGCAATAGGCTCAGGAAAAATTAAAATGTAGACAAAGTATTTGATCATGGGCAGATTTTAGAAATTGATTTGCAAGGAAAGGAAGTTTTGAAATTAGGTAATAAGCAGTTCTAGTCAAAGGGGCTTTTTCTATGCACAGTAAAACTTTTTTTTCTGGTAGAGTTTGGCTTTCTGGTATTTATTAAAAATATTTTTATTATAACATATTAGTCTAATGCCTGCCGCCTTATCCAAACACACACACTGACATTTAAACAAATGGAACACTGGCCGCTATAGGAATATACTTTCCACATACATCATATTGATGAATGAGGTGACACCAACAAATATAAAGGCAATGTAACATTATATATATATAGTTATAGTTATCTAAATAACTTTTTAAAACAACATTTCATTAGACTACCATTATTAAAAAGGAATTTATTTTAATGGATTTTCCTAGCTGGGCTCTTCTTTATCTGTATATCCAGAGCAAAAACCAAGAAATCTCTGTGCTGAAACACTAAGTATAATGCATAGTAATATTTTCAAACCATCTCAAACTGCACACACAGATTCTCTTCTTCACACACTAAAATCCATTCCCTTATCAGCTACCTACAATATCTGGGTCCATTATTGAAATGTTCCTACGTAAATTAGGGCAGCCATTTTTACATTTAAGTGTTCCAGTTGGCACCTAGAACAGGTACATGGATACCTAAGCACTGATTTAGACTGGATCCCTTAGCTTAAGTACTTCAAGTTTGAAATTGGTCTCTTTAGTTGTTTGTGACAAAGTACACATGTGGTGACCCTTCCCCGCAAGCCAGTGTGAAGACAGTTTCACATCAGCTGCCAGGGAAATGCCCTGTATAAGCCTATGGTAATATGTTTTCCTTGGCAAGACCAGGAAACTTTTCAGACACACCTCATGACCTCCTTTTGGGTCCCTTGTTCCTTATGTTGAGTTGTTTCACACTCAGCAAAGGCATTAAAGGCAAGATTTTCAAAGGCAAAAATAATGGCTAGGCTCCTAACTCCTATTGACTAGCAGTGAGAGTTAGGCACCTATCTGCCATCTGTGCCTTTGAAAATCTCTCCTAAATGTCATTATTTTTTTTGCTGTACATTTCACAGGAAAACAGATGTTTAAAAGAAAATTAAGAAGAATTTACGATCACAATGGCTATAATTATTTTAATTAATTTGCCCCAGCTCAATAAACAAAACAGATCAGTTCACTGTTAGACTTGACTTTGGGTTGCTCATCCCCATGTGAGGCAGTCATAACACAACAGAGATTACAGTATCTATGTAGTCATTCCAACCAAAGATTTGCTAATTAATGCATTATGGAAATGTGAGATGTGTACAACAAATATTTACAGATGAAATAATCTCACTCAATAGTATTACATCACAAAGTTAACCAAAAAACAGTTGCATCTTTTATACTCACAAATAAAATTTTTCATCCCATACTGGATTCAAGTTTCCAAAGATAGTTTTAGTTCTCCGTTTGGTTTTGCCAACTTGTACTGTAACGTATGGATCACTTGAGCCTGTTTTATCCTTAGCTTGTAAACCCTGAGCACAAACCACTGCAACAAAAATTAAACAAACAGGTTTTACCCTGCAGCTTTCATTGTGAAGGACCACATGCAACAGTGGCCAAAAAAAGGAGAAAAAACACAGTCTAGGGAGTCTTGAAAAGAAAGGTTAATAGGAAATCAAGGAGAGTGCTGAAGAGAATATCATTTTAACTTCTGTTAGCTGGGGACTCGATGCAGAAATTACTGGGTGTATTCCATGACCTCTGTTATGCAGAAGGTTAAACTAGATGATCATAATGACCCCTTTTGGCCGCAAAATCTATGAATCTAGCTAATGTGCAATAATCTAAAGATTAACTGCAGAGTTTATCTACTATACAGTGTGTATGATACAAAGCAAGTATTTTCTGCAACACTGATCACTGAGATTCCCTTCTAAAGCTGTGGTTTCAATGCACTGTAAGCAATGTAATGTTACAGTCTAACTCAGTTCAAGTCTTATGATTCCCTGCATAGTAGGAAAGGCTTTCAAAATCTAAGAAAGGAGTTTTGCTTGCACTGGGAGAATGTTTGTCATGAATTTTGGAACTAAACATGGATATCCTTAATGAGCACTTCACCCTATCGTTCCTCCTTGGCATACTTGGGACTAAAACAGTGTAACTGTAAATATTTTCCCAATACTATATAGCATACTCAGCCAGTCAAAAGCCTTCAGTAACAATGGAAAGACTGCATTCAAGGAAATTAACTGTAACTGTCATTAGCCATGTATGTTGTAGCCATATTAGTCCCAGGATATTAGAGTGACAAGGTGGGTGAGGTAATACACCTCTACCCCGATATAACTGTCCTCGGGAGCCAAAAAATCTTATTGCGTTATAGGTGAAACCGCATTATATCGACTTGCTTTGATCCGCCGGAGTGTGCAGCCTGCCCCCTCGGAGCGCTGCTTTACCGCGTTATATCCGAATTCGTGTTATATTGGGTTGTGTTATATCGGGGTAGAGGTGTATCTTTTATTGGATCAACTTTTGTTGGTGGAAAAGACAAGTTTCAAACTACACAGAATTCTGCTTCTGTGTACTCAAAAGCTTGTCTCTTTCATCAACAGAAGTCGGTCCAATAAAAAATATTACCTCACCCACCTTCTCTCTCCACTAGCTGTGTAAACATTTTTCAGAGTTTATGATGGCTACTTTATATACTCTGTGGTAAATATAAATACATATCACTCGCTTTTTCCATTATAATTCATACACTGGAAATCTCTCATTTGAATGCAAAATTGTCAAAACCAGAATAACCTACAGCTGAAAAACTTGTCATGGCTGCTAACATCAGCAGAGATTTGTTTTATTATTTTGAACACATTGTTTAAAATATCTTGATGGTACCATTTAGTTAACATAGCCTGCTGTCAATCACATTGGATAATGTAGCTCACCGTGTACTCAGAAAAGTGACTGTATACAAATGGCACTTTCTGAGCCAGCAGATCTGCTCCCTTTGTGTGTTCAGAGTCAAATCTGCTGACTTTTGTGAAAAAAGTAAGTTTTCATTACAGTTCACTCCTGTCAGCCCTATAGAACACCACATTTCTGGGGATTCAACTGGATTTGCTTCCGCCTGGCACTTCATTGTTAGCAGAAAGGGCGCTTTGCAAAGTCACAAATGGCAAGCTGGCACCCAGCTCCCACTGACTGTCAATGAAGGCACATCCCAGGGTGCCTTTTGTGCCTGTGGAAAATCTCCCCTGGTATTAACTAAATTCCAATTGCAGGGTCACCTGCGTAACCCACTTCTCTCCTCGGTTCTACCTGTGCAATCACACTGAACATAAGAGACCTGCACAGGTACAACTTAGAGCATAAACTGAGGGCAATGGGGCTACACCTGCAGTCACTGAGGGGAGGATTTGGACTGCAAATTGAGGGGAGCCTCTGTTTCTGGTGATGATTCATTAGCCACAAAGAACTCTCTTGGAATCTCAAATCAGGTTCATTGTTTAGGGCTGGCAGGTACGGAAAATAACAGCATTAATCTTCTTACTTGAAAACTGAGTAAATTTGAAGAGGGAATAACTGAGGCATAATAAATGTGGATTTACACAATGCGCCATTTTACAAAGTAATTTTGCAGAGTAGAATCATACTTTAAAGGGCAAATGCTTCTGGCATTCTCTGTAGCATGGAATGAGACCAAACAATGGAAAATCCAGAGTGGACGTGATACACAGCTTACTTGAGGTGCTGCTATGCTGCTGCTTATCAGAAGCCACAGAGAAGATTCTGAAATACCTCAACAAGCCTGCCTGTGGTGGGTGCACTGGAGCCTGGCTAGGGGGAAACCGTTCAAAAGAAGAATATAGGGCAAGATTCCATTCTTATGGAAGGGAGAGAGGACAAAGCCAGGTTGTTGAACCTGGGAAAGAGGTGTACAGAGTTCTGTGGCTCAGGACTGAAGCTAAATAATTTCCTTGCAAAGAGGTACACAATGAATTACACTGTAGTAACACTGTGAGTAATGAAACACAACCTCCCAGGTGGGGGTACATGTCTACCGTGCCTACTCCAAATTATTAGTAGCACTTGAGTCTGCACTTTGCAGGAGAGGAAAGGTGGCTATGTTGTTAATGTACCGTGTCTGGAACTCAGGAGAGCTGGATTCTATTTCCAAACCAATTAACCTATTTTGGTTCAGTTTCTGAAGATGGGGATAAGAAGTCTCTCTTACCTCACAGAGTGATAGGGCTAAATCCATTAATGCTGTAAGCTCTTTGAGATCCTGAGATGGAAGGTGCTATACAAGTGTAAAACACGGTTATGTGTTTGTATGGTGCCCAGCAAGATGCAGTGCATGTCCATGAGTGAGAATCTTAGGGGTCACAACAAAAACAATGAATAAGAAAGCATTATTCTCATGATATTATTATTGGTGTTGTTACCCTTCTAGAAATATTTAATTTGTATAATGTGAGTCTCTGTATAGTGGATGTGAAAAGCCACAGTTGTATGCACAGAGGGCTGTGTTGCAGTTCCACCAACCCAGCAGAAGCAAGATATCTAAAAAAGGTTTGTTCTCCACTTCTCTTCTGGCTCAGCAAGCCGCCTCCTGCATTTCCGCCTTGCTCCTACTTTCTCCTCCCAGCCTGGACCACTTAATCTCTGTCTCTCCTCAGCCCACCTCAGAACTGTCCTGGCTACCTTTAACCACTCTGGCCTGCCCCCCAGCATCTGGGGCCTGATTCACAGCCCTCTGAAGTCAGAATCTTTCTATTGATTGCAATGCGCTCTGGATCAGGCCCCAGGTCAGGATGTGTCCTGTCCTCTCCAAGCAGACATGACTAGAGCTTTGCTGTCTTCAGGCAGGTCTCTCAGGCTCCATTCACACATCAGTTCCAAGCAAGGAAAGGAACCATCAAGAAAAGGTGCCTCTCTTTTCCTTTCGGGGTTCTAGTTCTGTGACCTGGCTGCATGAATTAGGGAACATTCATCTAATGGCCCTGATTCTGCACCATTAAAGTCCATAGGAGTTTTACCACTGACATCAGTGAGAGTAGGATCAAGCCCTTAATGGCTAAACTAGTTTTGTACCATCTGATGCAGTGATTTTTGAATCTATCATATCATTCTACACTGTGGGTAAAGTATGAATGGATTCACATATTTCCTCAGTAACACATTAAGATAATTTCACATCTCTATGCTGGCTGTGTAGTTCCACTTAATTCACAGGCATAAACAGTAATAAGGACATTCCTGTGTCTTACAGCACTATGCATGTGTTTGGATCTTTGATCCACTGAAAAAATACAATATGTGATCACAATACTGTTAAGGATATTGTGAACTACGTTAGAAAAACCCAGCATATTGCATGTAAAGAACATCGATCACATGGGACTAAATTAAGCACAGCAGTTTGCAAATTGATCAATGGGTAAAAAAATTAATTATACCTGTTTCACTAACACATGCATTAATGCTTAATAGAAAGCAAAACTTTTGTTTTATTTTATTGTAGTCACAAGTGAGTGGTGAAAGCTGGAAAGGGTTTTAAAGCTTATCTTCTGATCGCCAAGGACAGTGCATCAAAATCCTGGAGAAGGCAATGCATAATTCACTTTTAAAATCAGAATTTTATTAGTGGATTAGTTTTAATGACATTAAAGTTAAATTAAATTAATATTGAATCTAATCAAATTCTAGGGCATTTAATGTTTCACATCACTAGCTTTTAATTCTTTACACTTGTAGTTAAGTTATTTCATGCACTAGTATTGTATGCTGGAGGTCAGTTTGTGCAACCACTTATTATATTTAAGTTTCCTGTGCTGATATTTGAATTCAGAAGCTAAAATATATAAGCAATAAATTCCTGATTCCTGAGCTTTAAAGCAAAATGGGAATCTTTGTGAGCAGCTGGCCAAATTCAAAGGTTAAGAACAGTTAACAGCAGTTTTGAGCAGATGTGTTAGATGAATATCACTTAACTGGAACACAATCTTACTCAAACAACAAAAATGGATGGGGACTCTCGTACCAAAGGGGTTGGAATTGTTAGCTTCTTAGCATTTCAGTCATTAAAAACACATCAAGGAGATCATCAACTATAACTCTTGTAATTGATCAATATTAGCAAAATCTCAAGCACAGGAGGTGCTGATAGGACGCAGAACAGAGGAAAAAAGAACAGTTAGTTATCTTCCCATCCTAAAATAGGAGTAATTAATGTATGAAGGAAATATACATTTATTTTACTGACACTGTCTATACAGAGTACAGGATTTTCCGTGACTATTACTCAAGCTTCCAGTTAATATGCTATTGTACCAACCATTTATAGATACCCCTGAGATAAAATTTAACATGGAATTTCATCTTAGATTCTATGAACACTAACTTGTAGCAATAGGACTGGGGAGGAAAGAGCTTCTTTCAACTAGAGAACATTTCAATATGGAAAAAAAAAATCTCACCTGTGATGGTTATTTTTGCTGACCACTTGGATGTTCCATCCAACACATTCTGTTTTGCTGCCTTTGTGTATTGCACAAAATCTTCTTTGGAAATCTGGAACATTTCCTGGATCACTTCAAATACCTCTGGTCTATTTCTCTCCCTAATCTTCATTCTTTCCTTCATAGCAGTAATAATATTCTGGGTCTTATCTTCTGCACCATGTTTAGAACTCTTCTCTGCAGCTCCTGAGTTTTAAAATAAATGAAGTGATCAATGTATTCAAAGAAACATTGGAGTAAGTGACACATCACATTATCATGTTTGGTTTTCACTTCTATAACCCCTAGCCAATATTAGGTACAATGCTGGAGTACAGCTCTTCCAAATATTACAAACTAGAAGCCAAGGTGCCATCACACAAGAGAAATCGCATTTGGGAACTGCTGTGCCATCCACTGTGATGTAATTCTCTATACTGAAGGCTAGGATTGTAATTTTAACTGAGATGATACTGATAAGTAGAGTATTTCATATTTTGCAATACTAGGTGATGAATGAGTCTTAAGTGACCACTATAATTGAGAAAGAATGTAAGTCAAATGACTCAGTGGTGGGGAAGTTGTCTGCCTATATTAGAGTTTTCAGGATCTGAACCTGTCTGAAAGACATTACTCTTTCAGATACTTTAAATGTTACTCTTCCTTTCTGAGCACTTAATATAATAGCATTTGTATTTCCTTTTTTTGTATAGTTTCCTTAGCGAATTATTAAAATTCTACTTGCTAGGTAGACTGATAAAGGAAACTAGAAGAAATTCTATGCTGAAATGGGAAACCCTGATTTTCAAGGCACAGACTATGTGGTGTATTACAGTTGCCAAATATTATTATAGCATTGCATGACAATTACAAATTTAAGACAGTCACTGTTTCCATTATAAACCCCTTTTATCAGAGATCTGATAACTTGACCAAAAAATATGAACAGTTTCTGATGCTTTCAGGACAACTCAAAGGTAAATCCCAGAGTCTGCAGGCACTGTATACACTTGAGGAAATTTCTCCTCATCCCCTCATGGCAGAGCATTTCCACAAGACCATATCCAAAAGCCAGTAAAAATCCATTCCATCAACGCAGAGCCTGAGTGCTTAGAGCCTTAGGACTGTTCTATCCTGTGCCAGGTAGAACACTCCCTCTCCCAAGAGCCAGCACAGGAAGCCCAATCTAGAAACATTGGAGGGCAACACACTCTGGTCACATCTCCTTCCAACTAAGTATGCCACTGGAAAGCTCAGTACGCCATGAGCAGAAGCGGGGCGAGCTGGTTTCATGTTAACTGTGGACTCTCCTGCTGGCTCTTTAAGCCAGCTTTCCAGCCCCTTGGGCCTCTGAAATAGTGGCCAATATCTGGCCCTTGTTGATTAATTTCTGGTTGAAATTGGGTAGATTACTCAGGGTATGTAGTTTCTTCCAAGAGTTGTACCAATGGGACAATTTAGAGACATTTTGCAAAGAATGCTGCTCTAGGAGAGCAGAGGAAAGGATGGTTTGGGAGGCGGTGAGGAGGGGGTAAAGAACCTTGAATTTTTTAATAAAAAATAAATCAAAGGATGGTTATTAACCATCACACTCAGAAAAGATGGTACTCTTCATTAATCTGTTCTCAGCTGTCACAATAACCAGGTGCCAGCTTCAAAACAGAGATTTGCAATCTTCCCCCAGGATGGGATAGTAAGCTGAAGACATATCAGTACATGCATGTGTCAAAATAGGAGAAAGCTCTTTATTAAAAGCAGTGAAGGCACAAGAAAGATCAGAAACTTATTGCTTTGTTTCAACTGTCTGTAACTCCTGAATGGAAACCTAATGATGGACCATAGGTGTCATGGGGCCAGTTCTGGGAAAGACCCCACCTGTGCCCTGTTTAGCTGTCACATAGCACTCATCCATAACTAGCACAGAAATGTAACATTACAGTAAGCTTCAATGTCAAGAAAAGTTACAGGAAGAAAGCTGAACACTAAAAGCTGAATTGAGGCACAGTTCTCTGATAGGGTGGCATGGAGCTGCTCCTCCCAACAGGAGCCCCTAGAGACATTCCATCTCAGGGAGGAGACAAGCTATGTCCTCAAGCTCCCCAGCATGCAGAGACAGAGCTCCCAACACCTTACCCCTTTGAAGGGTGCAGCATACCTCCTCCAGTTCTGCTAGCCGATGTATAGAGGTGAGCATGGTCCTACCTCTTCGCTGTCTCCTTGGCCATGTCTTGCATTCCACTATGGTATAGGGACATGGATGGGCCCTACTGTGACAGAGAACTATAAAGGACTCCTTGTATTTTCCACTGCCTTTCTACTTTGAGCACCTGAGGAGCAGCAGGGCACAATGTGTCCCAAAGTTCTGAAACCAGAGCCTAAGAAAGTTCCTTTCTCTAACACAACTCCCATTATTGTTCATTTCCCAAACTGTGTGTGGGTGGCAGAAAAGACCAAAGGATATTGCCTATATGATTGTAATTTATATACAGTATATGTGTAGGGCAGGGCCAGTTCTATTCTACAATCAGTGAAAGTGGCCAAGGAATGAAACAGAATATTAGAAGGAGCAAAACTTTCAGCATCTCTTTGTTCAGGTGACTTGGTTAGTGGGCAGGGACATTTGCTGGTTTGCTTAGGGCAGCAAAACCACTAGAGCTGCCCCAGTACATAATATAGACACGTGCTTAAAGAGAGTCACAAGGCCGGGGAGGGCATCATTAAAAATTCTTCACAGCTTAAGGCTGAACTTGTAATTCATGAATGGAGAATTTACAGGGCTTTGAAGATATCTATTTTTCTAAATGTATGCACTGATCACTGTGGAACTTCAGAGCTAAGTACGCTGTTGTAAAATCTTCTCCTTTCTGTCTGATGAAAGTATTGCTGAGAGGCAGCCCCATCACTGCGTATTGTACTTGAGTAACATAGCAGCATTTTAGGTGTCTGATAACGAATTGGTTTATTTTTCAGCTCAGAGTAAGGTGTGAGGTTGAGGATGAGGAAGGAAACGTAGCTTTGAGGAGGGCATGGGAAAGTGGGGGCGTGGCATTTCAAACTCTATAGTGCACATCCGTGAGCAGAACACCACCAGAAACAGGTGGTCAATGCTATGTTAAAAATGATAGCAGCAGAGAAGTGAGGTAGCTGGGATCACTGAGCAGGATACACCACAGGTGTGTATGCCATATGGAGACTGTCAAGAATGGCAAGATGACAGAACAAACAAAGAAGATTTTCTAACCACTGAAACAGTGATGTGATAGACACATCACTAGTTTTCACGACAGGTCCTGTGGGAATACATGCTACTGATGGTTGATTCATACTATTGAATACTGTGGACCAAATTCTGCAGTTATTCATTCCTTATTCAGGTAAGACTAGCTTTGATTCCAGTGGGAGATTTGCCTGAGTTAGAATGATAGAATTGGACCCTGGCTATGTATTTATCCACTGACATCTATCCCAGTGTACATTTATTTATTTAAAATGTTGCTTTCTGCGCTCTCCACCTCAGATACATGCTTTTTTTTCCATGAGGGTCCCAGGAGGGAGTAACTCATATAACCTTACAACAGCAGACTTCAGTACAACACAGGCAGTATAATGTAGAACACTCAGTCTAATGCTGCTGGCAACAGTGAGTTGCTATTTCAGGTACATTTATACTGACATGGCTGCTTAAAATAAAGGATTAAAAGTTTCTCAGAACCAGAAAATGTGGGTGCCTGTTTAATGAAGCAAGTAATATATTCAGGCTTTTTATAGCCACAGTCCACAAACCTCTCCCCCATAGCCAGTTTTAGTTAGCTCTAGGCACTTTGAAATTCATACACTGGTTGGAGCAAAGGGAATGGTTGCAGTCTGCATTGGATAAAGAAAAACAATGAATACGAGGGAGCCAAATTATGAGCACATTTATAAAATGTAGCAAATAAGTATCTATTTTGTATAGAGATCTATCATACAGCTGTGCATGTGTCTCTCAAAAGCCACCTAACCCTGGCTCTATGCCAGCTGGGGAGACCTGTCCATTTCCCGTGCTGCAAGAAAAAAAGATTGAGTGCTTTACTAAAAGTATACTGGAAGCCTTTATAATTGTGCCAATTTTGCCTGAGTTAAATAGATGAGGTTACATTATAATACACTATACAACCTCAAATATAATTAGTATAAGAAAAACTTATAGAACATTGCAAATAAAGATGTGACATTATTTAGTCACCTAGGGAAATACACTAGTTTGTAAGAATAATCACTATATGCAAATATTGTTAGAAATATATTCCACATAACAAAGAGGGAGCCAGATCATTTGCCCTGATAAGGCAGCTTTGTATGGTGAATACCAAAGTCAATGCTTTGTAGCTGGTTTTGTTTGTTTTTTTTTATTTCTGATCTTTGGTGATCAGGTCTTCTGGCATCTAAGCTGGCCTTCTGCCGTAAGGAACTCTTTCAGTATTTACTGTAACTGAGGGCAGCAGAATCATCAGGACTATTAGCAGTTGTAGAGCACTTTTACATTTCCAAACACTGTGCAAACATTATCTAATTAGCCTTCCTCACACAATTCCTGAGGGGGTACATGGAGGCGTGACTTGCACCTCATCATGCTTTATAGAAATATGCTTATGAGTGTGAATATAATGTAACTGGAATATGCTTCATGCAAAAGGTCTCTTGTAAGGTCTCTTACAAAGCTTATAATCTACTGAGTGTGGTCATCCTATTTCTATAAATGTATCATTCTTATATATGGAACTAGAAATATGAAATATAACTCTGAGGTCCTATTGTAATTATGCAAAGTGTGGGCCATTAATGGTGGCTTGGAATCTTGATGGCTCCCATTAACCAGGACAATTGGTTGTAAATGGCTCTGTTTACTTGTAAGTCTTCCTGTATACCTGTGTGCTGGCAAGTGGGTAGTGAAGTCTTATAGTGACATATGATCATGTCACCTGAACTGGAATCCATCTTTAACCTGGTGCTTTTCCATTTAGAAGGAGGGGTGGGGACCCAGAGAGGGACAAAGGATTCCTGCCTTGTGCAAAAGATATATAAGGGGGTGGAACAGAACAAAGGGGCTGCAGTCATGAGAAATCCCCTAGCTATCACCTGAGCTAGAACAAGGACTGTACCAGGGGAAAGGATTGGGCCCAGACTAGAAAGGAGTCTAGTCTGTGAAAAAAGCTTATTAGAACATC